CTATTTACCAGGGTTGCTTCTGGCTCCATTAGTCAGTTCATAAGAGAGTGATTTGGGTCGGATTCCTGGGGCATGTGCGTGGGTGTCATGCGCTGCGCACTCTTGTTCACCTGGCTACTTTGTTGAGTCTCCGCCGCCATCGACGCATTAGGCAGAGAACATGGGTGACTGTTTTTGAAGATGGATCATGAAAAAAGTCACAAGTGAACCTCAAACCCCATTACAGACTCCATACAAATGTAAGAAAATAAAACCTGTCATGTCATGAAAAGTCAGATTGGAGGCAAAATGGGGCGAAAGTAAATATTTGGAAGTTTTCAATTAAAGGAGGGAACTCAGAGCTCCATTAGGAAGGAAAAAAGAACCTGCAGTTGGCCCTCTTTACTTAAAAGCTAAAATATTCTGTTCAAAATAACTTTCACATGTATAACTTTCTTACCTCAGAACACACTATGCTTCACAACAAAAGAACTATGCATTCACAGCCTCAGACTGCGGCTCTGTTCCACTCTTCTGGCATCACACTGATATTATGGAAAATGTCTCCAAAGAAGTAAACCTCTGCAAAAATTCTGGAACTTGCAATAAAACATAAAATAAATCCACTGCGCATCACAAGATGTGGGTAACAAGAAGCCATTGTCATTAGACCTGAGAGTCTTTGTTTAAAGCCACACTGACACATTGTCCTCTCAGACAGCACTCGAGACTACCCTGATGTTTATTCAAATAACCAACAAGTGGAACACTGGCATCAATCTGATCTCTCTTTGTCCAAACTAATAAAAGACAAAGGCAATAAAACAATTAATCTCTGACTGTCTTAACATGGCCTAGCTCACTTTCAGTTTTCTCCCTGAAACCAAAAGGACACCGCTGGACATTAGTTCCACTTCATGCCATTCTATTTGCTTAAGTTTCCATTCTATAAAACAATAATGGTGACTTGTTTCTGCTTTTTATCCACTTGATAGCAATTAGCTAATTGCTATCCTTCCATATATTAAATGTATTAATATACAGAAATTAATTTACCACATCCACCCATTATAAAGATGTCAGCCATATAAATGCAACCTGGTTTTAAACAGACAAACCTAATATAATTTTATGGGCATATTGAATCTCTTTCATACAAATGTATGAAAATCAGACTCTAGCTCTGCCAGCATCTGGGTAAAGTGCCTACTTTCTGAAGCAATGACAAAGCCCGGTAAAATCTCTTTCAATGAAGTTATCAGCCAATTACAGAAACAAGTGACATTCGAATTAACACATGAAACTCAAAAGCTTTTGCACGTCGATGCAGAATGTTCTCTATGAACAAAAAAATGTAAATGATGACAGAGCTTAAGTCACAATTGCACATGGAGTCAGCAGAGTTCTGGGTCTTCAGTGGGTTTAACTTGAATGAAGGTAAGACGTAGATGTTAAATTATGAAATGTTATTGTGGTAAATATTTTTCAAAATGTTTACCAGAAAGATATGAATGCACAAGAAATTAAAAAATAAATAAAACATTCTCCACATTTCTTTTCATAACATGGGACTGATCTTTAGCATTAACCCCAGACACTGTTCACCTATAAATCAATGGAAACCAAGGCAGCGGAAAAGCAACAAAACACAGATAAACCCAAGAGCACAGAGAGGTGAGCCAAACTGTTTCGAGTCTTGCACACAGAGGATCAAGTAAAGGGGGAGGATAATGGAGAACATAATTTAGCATTTGTGTAAGCTGTTTATCAAATTATTAACTACACAGATGTTTCAGACTAGGCTACTGGCTGAACATGAGATCGACCAAGCAGAGGAACAAAGGTCTGAAGGATTCAATGGAGATGTGCCCTGCATATCAATTTAATTTACTAGCTGTTAATTCTTATGCAAATTGTGACCTCTGTTGGGGCGTATCAATGGCTATACACATTGTATGTTGCTGCAGGAGAGGCATAAAAAAAGTGCAAGATCCCTGTTGAAAACTATGAATATGGTAAAAGGGCTGCTGTAGAATCTGTGGTATATTTGCAGAATTATGTTTTTTTGTATATTTGGGATTTTTTGACTAAGCAAATGAATTATATAACAAAATAGTCATTTTTTTGTTTTTTTTTAATTAAAGCTCTATAAAGCTTATCCAGCAATTACTGAGTATATGTACCTCCTGCTAACCTTTTTAATAACATGCCGAAGTAGAATTAAGAGGACAGTTAATTATAAGACTGTGTGAGTATAGACTTTACTCTGAATCATATAATGATAAAGAAAATCATCCATGATGCAAGCATTTTGACTTCAAACAAAGGTTAATTGTACAGCCAAGAACCTTGGCTGGGCTCAGCTGGAGCAGTGATGCTGCAAGTCTCATTTTCTTCACTGCTTCTAAAGCACTGCCTTTCAGCTCTCAGTGGCAAAACAAAAATAAAAACCCAGCAACAATATCAATTATACATGCAGGAGGCAAACAAGGGGATTTATTTCACAACAAATAGCCTCATAGAGAGATGCTGAATAGGGCAGATTAGCATTAGAAAAGGATAACAAAACTCCCCTGTTCAACTGCTAAAGAGCAATTTGATGGGTCTGGAATTGGAGGAAATTGGTTGATTGCAATGTGCATTTGGAGGGGCTGGGTTCCAAACCTCTAACATGTAATATCCAAATGAACACACTCCAGAGATTTCAGCCAATACTTATAAATGATCAGTATGGTCATTATCTAAGTTGAAAAGGAGCATTATTTAAAATGCCAAATTTGCAGAACACCCAACACCACTATTAAAGAAAAAATACAATACCGAATTTAATTAATGAAACTCATTTTTGAAGGGCACACATGATGGTTCAGTCCTTAAATATGCACTGAAAAAGTACAATATTTGGTTTTAGTGATGAAAATGGGAGAAGAATGGAACTGAGCAGGTTTTTTCAACCACTACCTAGAAATTAGCGGTAGCTATCTCTAATTACGCAGATATGACCGCACTTCTAAATTCAGCACTGTTTAGAAAGAAACTTTATATGTTCACATTTACTCTGGAGGGGCTCTTATTTATTTATTTATTTATTTATTTATTATTATTTATTTATTTTTTTTTACTATTTTTCAATGCTGCACTTTTAAATAAGATTAAATTGTCCAGAGCTGTAAACTACATTTCTTTTTTTTTTTTTACACTTGTGTAAACAAATTGATGAATAAAATCTGTCTAAGTCTAAGAATAGAATAGAATAAAATATAATAGAATAGAATAGAATAGAACTGTGAATCCCTTTATAGTCTCACAATGGGGAATTTGTGGTGTTTCCAGCAGCAAAAGGAAAAACACACTGGAAAAAAATCTAAATCTAGATAAGTCTTCTTTTCTTTTTAAATAATTGTTTTTGTTCTTGAATTGAGAAGGTAAATGAAACATTTAGCCAATGGAACAAGACAATTTAAAATAAGAAAAAAACAATTGCATGGTCTTATTTCATTTCAAGTACATTTTATCTCAATATCTTATTTTAAGAGTACAAATACTCATTCCATTGACAAATCATCTCATTTACCTATTCAAATTATGGGTAAATACACTTAATTCAAGACATTTTGACTAATTTCTAGATATTTTTCCAGTGCAGAAGTTGTCACACAATGTGGACCTTAGAAAAGTGTATACAAATAACAGATAAGAATTAAACAAATAAAGTACTGTACTGTACCGTGTTTTTACAATATAAATACTCTATATCTGGAGAATCAATAACAGCTGTGGACATTTTTACAGTAATGGATATATGAAAAACAGCAGCAACACCAGAGATGTGCAAAAAAGTTGGGTTTTCCAAAAATTGGACCTCTAAGGAAATAATGTGCCAAGAAAAATACTACAAGTAGCTTTTGGCTTCCTTTCAAACTGCATGATGATAGCGAATTTTGCACATCAAATTGAAATTATTTCTCTTAGTTCCAGGGAGCTTGTATGGGAAGATACAAATATTAAGATACGGTAATTAAATTTTGAAAAAAAAAAAAAAAAATACAATCAAACAAAAACCCAAGAAACAAACAAACTGGCAGATGCCTAAACATATCCACAGCTACAACAAAAAGATTTAACATTCACATTATGTTTAAAAATTAAAGTTGTTACAAATCGATCTGTTGCAAAACTTGGGAACAGATCTATTCCAGCCGATCTGACCAAACTTCAATAACTTGTCCAAAATGAATCTTTTTAAGTTTTAGTCTCAACATGTGCATAATGCATAGGACAAACTCTATAGATTTCCAAAGGGAAATTTAGGAGAAGGTGGTTATATAAAGCTTTGATTTTTATGGTCCAATTACGAATAAAAGCCACACTTTTCAGATTCTTTTTCCTAAGTATTGAAAAAAATACAGAAGGACCTGAATATACCTGTTTACCTGGCATACTTTTCCCTTAAAATTGTGATAAAACCTTTTGCAACCTGTCAAAATGAAAAAGATCATGATGAAAAAAAAAACTCTTTTGCTACAACTTATGTATTTTAAATATTTGCATCTCTTGGTATATTAGTTTAGACTTAATGTATCAATATATGTAATAAACTTCAAATAAGGGGTATGAGAAAAAAGATGCTTGGCTGGTGTAGAAAGTATATAATTAAGAACTACACGTTTATTTGTCCTAAAATATGTCAAAACATAAAAAAATGACGTTTCACTATTATAACCATGGTAAAACATGACATTTTGAGAAATGTCAGTGATAAACTTTGAAGCAAGATGCTATCAGTAGATAATAGGAAACTGCCATTTGTCAAAACGAGATATCAATCTGTATCTGTCAGGGAAGGAACAGCTTATCAAATAAAAGACAAAGGCTTCTGATGTATCATATTTAGGCAAATCGGATTATAATCCTTACTAATCAGAAATGACATTTAAGAGATTGTGATTGCATCTCTCAAACGAGACCATGTGCTTTTTGTGTTTACCAGCAGAGGTTTCTGGGAAGCCGTTCCCATGGTAACCAAGGTAAACACGTCCGCCTTTCTCTATGCCTCCTTCTTGCTGCCATCCTTGCTGGTCTCGGCTCTGCTGCAGCTCCAAAACCGGTGAAAATGGCAGGATCGACCTGCAGCGATGACGGGTACAATGCAAAGATAGCGACGATTCAGCAAAACATGCATCAATGGTGAGATTTCTCTATGTTTTTTTTTCACACCAGAAGCGTCGGCCCGAGGAGGGCTGGGGAGTGGAGTTGGAATTTCTACCGTCTGGATGAGCGTTCCTGCCGCAGCGCTCTCGAGCTAGCCGCGCGGTGAATGGTAGCAGAAGCTAAAGGATGTTATTTATGCCGTTAGAGCTGCCATTTTGGTCATAAATGGACGCTCAGTCAAAGTTAACCCACTAGTTTGGATAAGCCGTTATGTTTCTCTTTTCCGTGTTTTTGTCAATTAGTAATTATACCGGTTTAAAAAGGGGTAGGCTAACATGGCTATGCTACACAGGTCTTTCATGCGCGCGTGTGCTGTTAGCTTTTTCCCAAACATTTGGTTGTTTCTTACCTAACAGTACAAAGTGAGGCTTTCTTAAACTTTTTAAACTTACTACCAACAAAAAAATACTATTCCCATTTAGATATCGGTTAATTTAAAGGTCTGACATATTGCTATATGATTGTTAAACTCTTTTAAAAGTCGCTAATTCTTCATTTAATTTGAGCTAGGGTAAAAATACAGCGTATAAAGTAAGTCTAGTTAGCAATAAAAGTATAATTAAAGCACTTTATCAGTTTCTCCCTTAATGAATATACAATTTAATATTTTAAATAGCTAATAAAATATGAAAAAAATGAATCTACACATAGGGGAAGAAGTAAAAATGTATTAAAATGACATTGGTTGAGGCAGAACTGAATGGACCAGAGCCTCTGATTAGATAACTATTGGTGTTTTATATATCTGTGTGCAGTGAGAAGCGCAGATTGGAGCTGGAAAGGGAGCTGTTTGCCTTCTCCAGGTCAGATAAAAGAATGTAAGTTACACCTGAATGTCTGGACATCATACCTTCTCTTTATGCAGCCCTATGTTTTATTTATTTCATGGAAATGTATATGGGATTATGTGTTACTCTTATAAATACATAACTACAAGAGCATTACTTTACACCAGTTGGTAAAGTATTAAAAAGATCTCCTTCACTTTATAAAAGTATGAAGGGAAGGAGATCTTTCTGATTGTTTTATTCACTTTAGGTAAAGGGGAACATCTTCCCTAGATTGGCTCTAGTCTGCTACCAACATGTCAAACACTCACATATTCTGAAATGATTTATCCTAATAGAGCAACATTTTCCACACATAAGCAAGGTAATGTTTTAAAAATACACTCTTGAGTTTAATAAATGCCAAATAGATGCTTTGATGTAGACATCTGAGTTTCTTGTACGTATTTTTTTTTCATTTTCCATGGATTCATATTGTATAATCTGCATTGATTGACCTTTAGCTCAGTTTTTCTCTCGTTTTCATGATATAAGCAAAAAAACAAACAAAAACAATTTATTGGTCAGAACTCAAAGAGAACATGTCAAAGTTATTGATTAGAAAAATATAGATTGGTGGATCTCGGTTGGTGAACTACGGTTTTACCTTCCTGTTATCATTTTCTTAGAGTGGCATTAAACGAAAGAAAGGGCTCATATTGTGAGGTAACAAGGAGCCTGATGTAATGCACCTTTGTCAAAATATGTGTGTGTTTGACATTTTATTTATCGAGAAAATTGTAAATGTCTAAGGCTAAGCAGAAGAGGATGTTTTCACTCCCGTTCGTATTCACATTTCAGTTCAAATCAGCTAAGCTCATGTTGATAGGAGGCTTGTAAAGCACGCTTCAAATTCAAATCATATTGTGCTTAACCTTTTCTTGTGAGAGGTCTAGCTCTTAGTTTTTGACAATGTTCCCAGATAATATTTCCCTTGAATAACGCTTCTCCAATGCCTTCAGCTTGCAGATAAAGTGTTCCAAACTGCGTAGCTATCTGAAAGAAATCTGTGGCAGAGAAGCACAAGCGAAAATGAGAAACCTTGAGCTTAAGAGAGATGTGAAGTGCATGGAAATTAGCATGAAGGAGTATAATTTTGACCATGGCCCCCTGCAACAACAAAAGGTACCACATTCATTCACGCTGTTACACGTTTGTCTACACAGTTTCTGTTTGCTCATGTAGATTCTCACTTGATAAAAAAGCATTTATAAACAGACTCAAATATTCCCAACAGAGCAATGGAACAAGGTTTATTTTAAGATTCTATTCATAATCTGACTGAAAAGAAAAAAAAAACATCTATGGCCTGTAAACAAATGGCTTAAAAAAAAGATTACTTCAAACACATTTTGAACACATTTGCCTAATTGCCTCACTGTACATTTACTACTTAGAAAATGCATAGTAGAGAAGCAGACAGCCCATTGAAATCGCTCGCAGTGGCTTGATGTGAGAGACGTAAACACTCAAACAGTGCAATTTATCACCACAAGCAAATGAACAAGGGACAAAACAATGAGCCAGTCAGATTATCACTTAAAACTCAATGACAGTGCTTGACAGCTTAATATCAAATTAACAAAATTGGCTAATTATGACTCACTGAGTTAATTGCCCAATATAGAGACTCTGAAGTGCTCCAGAGGTTTAGTCATTCTCTCCCCTCAAGCAGTTGGTTTATTTCCTCTCAATGCTGTTTTTAAAATGTATTTTATTTTTACAGTGTAGATCACATAGAGAAATAAATTCTCATTTTGAAGTGAGATACCTATTAACAGAACCCTGTATGTTGATGTTTTTTTTGTTTGCTTTTTGAAATAATTCTTGTTTTTTTTTTATTTTGTTAAAAAAAACTTAAACACTTGAAACAATAAACATCCAGATACTTTTGTAATGTTTTTTTTTAGTGTTTCTATAAAGAAAACAAATAAAAAAGGCTTTGAATTTGAGCTGAAGCACGTGTCGCAGTTCCTTTGATATACAAGTTCCCAATTATTTGAAGCGCTGTTTGAATTTAGATTAAAGCAGTCATTCTGCCCAGTCAGATAAATGTGAAGTAGAGCGTCATCTGCTACACGGGGTACGCTCACTTGAGAAAACCCTCTGTTACTAAAAGACAGACTGCTGCTCAAAGGTTGTCACTCTGATTTATTCAGCACTGCTATTTAGGGTGTTGCTTTTGCAATAGAAAGTAAATATTATCAATTGTTTAACATATTTGATCAGGTATTTTAACACTTTCATACAGGCTGCCTTTTTGAAAAAGATTTCCAGACTTACTGAAGCCAGAAAGAAGACAGAGGAGCTGGTAGTAACACAGGTAAAACAGTTAATATATATTTTTTTATATATATTTAGGGGGGGATAATAACATCACGCTTTTAAAGCACATCCCGCCTTGTTGCCTTTGTGTTCCTGCTTTATGTTTTACACAACGTTTTCGCTGTTTTTGTTTTTTTTTTTACTCCACATTCTTCTGTTTTGAAATGTTTACAAGGTTTATGCAAATTGCAGTTTTATCGGGGCTCTGCTTTCAGATTGAAGAGAACAGAAGAAAGCAGACATTACTCCTGGTAAATCTGTAGAGGAGTCTACGTTTAAACTGTATCTGTAATAGCACAGGTGTCTAATCCTAGCGGGTAAATCTGCACAAGCAGTGTAGTTCAAGCCCATAGCTGCTTTCTCCCTTCACTTAAAGCAGTTAAAGCTCTTTTAGATGAAATGCCTAAGACATCTCATAATAACTTGGAGCATGCTGTCTAGAGCAGTCACTTGTAACTGTGTGCAACCCCCCCACGTCCAACCCAACCCCTCCCTCAGCCTGTCGATATTGTAATGAGCAAAATGGTACCGTCACTCCATTATGCATACAAGCCATTGGTTGGCAGTGTGTATGTCCCTCAGGCTGCAGCATTCATTAAGGGAAGCTTACCGGGCTGAAAGCTGGAGACAGATGATAACGGGGATATGATTTTCATATTTAATACATTCCTTGGAAGAGCACACGCGTGCCGCAGATTGATAGAAGAATCAATTGCTACTTTAGTGAAACACTTTCTACTTTGCCCTGCAGCTACCGATGGAATCACTCAGCCAAGAAATTAACTTTTCCCCTTTTTTTACCTACTTTGTGGATCTGCTGGGCAGGCTGCATGGTTTACAGTGAATGTTATTAAGCAGCTAACTGTTTGGTATTTAAGACGCTTATCAGAAAAGAAACAGAAGCTATGCTTTTTTTTGTTGTTATGTTTGGAGGGAGGCGTTTTGCCTTTTTTTCCTTCCTCTCCCTCTCTCCCCTCTTGGTGACATTGCAGACGTAAATCAAAAGTTGTCTAAAGGATTTTTCATGAGATTAAAAGTTAGAGCATTGATCCTGAGACATGAGCGTGAAAAATAAAAATGGTAAGAAGAAACCCAGACCTTTGCTCGGATATACTAGTCCTGTTCAGAATCAGGCTGGTATTATCTTACATTTGCCTCTTAGTTAATAAGGATAATATTTTGAAAAAAAAGATGAAAATCGTGTATGAATTAATTATACACTGCGTAATTTATTAAAAGCTTTTATTTTGAATTACAGCTTACAATTAAAGGAAAATATTATTAGATTACACACAGTATGATAAATGTTATTTATGTTCTTAGGCCTACATAAACACAGAGAATACTGATGATTTGATTGTCATTCACAAGAGAATTATTGGCTCATTCCATTTAAAATGTCATTGCTAAAGAAGTTTGTTCGTCAGAGTGTTGTGTGCAAACATATTATTTTAACATTGAGTGGAAGGAAAATCCAGTTTTCCCAGGGATGATTTTACAGGTTAAGAATTTGGAGGCTGGCTTAACTTGCAAATAAGATGAATTGTCACGAGTTTTGTGAATTTACAGATTCCTGAAGATACATCTTTCCAGAAGCCAATGGATGCATTAGACTCGCATACAGAAAGGTTTCGAACCAATGAAATGCATTGATGTATATTATGCCTATGGAGGACCTAAAGAGTCACTCAAAAATGAAACCAGCTGTTTCAAATGTCAACATTTATATCATGCAATTTGAAATCCAATTTGAAAAACATTTTCTAATTGCACATTTTAAAATTCGCAATGGAATTAATTAAAGAGGAATTGTAAATTGTGTTTATTAATCCATTATTAAAAAAAATGTTTTCAAATCCTATTTCTAAATGGAAACATGAAAAAAACAGAATTCATAAATCTCATTATGATTATCTTTCCTAATCACACATTTAAAAAAGGTAATACCTTATTCCATTTCCTCTTCAACTTGCATTTTCAAATCCTTTTTTAAATTGCACATCCTTTCTGCTTTACCTGCTTCTTTTGCGTGACCCTTCTGGTCCCAGAGCGCAACGGAAAGCCGTTAAACTCTCTCATTGGTTAGTATGCCACAAAGGTTAACAAAACGACCAATGAGGAAGCTGATTACATCCAAGGAGCAACTGTGATTGGTTAAACTGGTTTTCAGTGTGCTCAGGGACCAGAAGGTTCAGGGGGTAAATGGAGCAGTTAAAGAAAAAGACAAAAGCAATTTCCTAAAGAATTTGGAAATACTAGTTGAAAAAGAAAATGGAATGAAGTATAACCTTTTTTAAAGGTGTAATTAGGAAAGATATTTATATTCAGATTTATGAATTGTGTTTTTTAAATTTACATTTAGAATTAGGTTGCAGATTCATGTTCAAATTCCAGTATTTAATAATGGATTAATAAATACAATTTACAATTTCTCTCTATGCGCAATTAGAAAATGCTTTTCAAATTGGATTTCATTGCATAATTTAAATATTACATTTAAAATGGCTGTTTTTCTTTTTCAGAGACTCTCTAGGTCCTCCATAGATGTCAACCAGAAGCGGAAGGCTGAAGGAAAACAAAGATGGCTGAGCTGGTTAATGTTCTTGTATACCTCGATATTCAGTCTGTTTTAGCAGGACGAACCTCTATTTCTATTAAAAAACAGAGCAAAAGGACGGGTTTTGTGCCTTTGTGGATGAGAAAGATGTTAGCGCATTCTTCCTGACAGGTTTGAATTTATCAGGTCACTCTGCTACTTGCAAAACAAATCAAGAATGTGATACGTCACAGCTGCTGCGATTGTCTAAAAGCTTGATATGGGAGGCAGGTACCACTTGGTGATTTAACCAATCAGCTTGAAGAATTGCACAGAATGTTGCTCTCTTTTATTAATACCTTCTACTGGAGCCTTTCCAGATGGATGCTGTTCAGAATTTTAATTGAATGACATAGATCAACCTGTTTTATGCCAGGTTAGAGGCTGAGAGTAGAAAACAGTGTTACAAAAACACCAAAATAAAAAATAGATCATTACCAAAAACTCAGGATAATCTTCAGCAATGTCAAATTCCTTTCCCCTCCACAGCATGCAGAAGTTCATGTAAAAGGGGCTCAAACCAAATAGCATGATTTGAAAAAAAAACAAACAAAAAAACAAAATTTCTTTATTTTTTAAATTTCGATGTTCCAACAAATCATCATGAACTTTAGCAGCCCAATGACTTAAGACATATACATTCTGTTTAGAGGTTGAGGTTAGTGAATATTCATCTAACAGACCACATTTATTATTGCCCTACCAGGTGGTGCCTCCTAACAGTGGCAGCTGGTGGAGTTTTCTCTAGGGGTGTTATAACTTCAAAATAGACGTATACCAAAAACCAATCAAATTCATACAAAGGTATCACACTAGTATATTTATATGAATGTCAACAACAACATTGAAAAGGAAGCTGGGCTGCTGCCATGAACACCTTTGTTTAAAAATGTTCCGGATCGGCCTGTTTTTCAGTGGCTCAGGGCTCGTCTGCCTGGCTGTGTGTTTCTTTTTCTATATCTGCTTTTATCTCCTTGAACCCCAGACGGCCTCTGCAGATGGCCGCTCACACGGAGTCTGGTTCTGTTAGAGGTTTCTTCCTGTTAAAAGGCAGTTTTTCCTCTCCACTTTCGCTGCATGCATTCTTAGTGTGAGGGATTGCCTGTGTTGTGAATTGATGCTATATATATAAACTGAAGTGAATTGAAACTGAAAAAAATAACATACATTTTTCAAAGTGCTTTAAATCAGTCACACCTCTCTTGATCCATGGTGGGTCAGATCCTGTCATTTCAAAAAGGAGGCAGGGAAATCAGAATTGCATGCAGTTAACTAAGCCTTGTTGCCAAATAATTACATAAACCTGTAAATCAGCTGCACTTTATAAAAGAAGACTGTGACATCAGCGCTGTGGCGGGAGGTGGTGTGCAAATAAAGCTGCTTTCAGTTCTGGGATCTTGCTTATATGCATGCACAACTTTAATGAGAGTCTATGCACAAAGATTTTTTCTAGGGATGCACGATATAATCGGCCCCCTATCGGTATCGGCCTGTATCGGCCTTAAAAATGAATATCGGACATCGGCCACCCCACCGATATTTAACCCGATATTTGATCAGCTTCTGAGTTTCTAAAGTCTAAAAAAAAAAAAAAAAAAAAAAACCTCAAAAAAACTTCTTTTTTACAGACTTAAAAATTTCTAAAGACGAGGGAAAAAATATTGATACATTAAAATCTCACAATATCTTCATATGCTGATATATTGCCATTTGAAAACACCATATCAATCTCTTTTACTAATGAAATATTGCTATATGTCATTGTTATGCTTTGAAATCCCCCGAAAATTCAAGAAATTTTTCCATATTTTTATATGTTGATATATTGACGCGGTATCGATCTATTTTACTAACAAAATCTCACAAGAATTTGCAAAATATCACGAGAGTTTGTAACAGAACGATGAAATTTCACGAGATTTTGAAAGTAAAATAGATCGATACCACATTTTAAAAAATCTATTTGATATCAGCATATGAAAATATATTCGAGTATATTATTTTTCAAAGTGTCAGAAATGGATAACAAAACTGCTCTTTTCAATGACTACTTATTTTTGTCCAGCTTTAACATCGGTATCGATATCGGTTATCGGCTACATGAGTTTTAAAATATCGGCATATCGGATATCGGCCAAAATCCCAATATCGTGCATCCCTAATTTTTTCTCCCCAGGCTGGAAATACGTCACCAATCCGAGGACTAACAAAACAGCCATTAAAGATTTAATTTTGATCTTGCACATCTAAAAAATATATTCATACATTTTGAAATATTTAAATTTTACAATTACATTTTTGTTTTTGTATGTCTTAATCAAGATCATTGGTCATTGAGTGGGGCGGGGCCCTGGTGCCCTCTATGGGCCAGCCGATTGCCTCCTAATAGTATTTTACACCCAAAAATATCCTGATTCTGATACATTATTACCCCCCTCACCACTGATCTGATATTCAGATTTTCTGAGAACTATATTTGTGAGTTTTCATTAGCTGTTTAACCACCGTTTTTGGTTTTCACTGTGTGTAAATCAGTATAGTTTTTGAGTTTTGCTTATATTTTCTAACTACACTTCACTGGTTCAATTTAAGAAATAGAACTTTAAATCAGTTCTATTTTTCCTGAATGCAGGTTAAAGGTCCACAGAGACGAAAGTGGGACAGCAGCAAGAACTTGAAGCCTGTGGACATTTTTATGGACCACCAGGCCTCCGGGGGCTACGATGCTGAAGCTGGCACCACAAGTGTACACTCAGAGCAAGCATTTCAGCGTTCACCCAATCGCAGCGTTCACCCGCACGAACGTCTACCAAGTGGCCTTTTGAAGGACTTCATAGTTGGCGGAGAGGATGCTGCCAGTAAGCGAGCACATTTATCAGATGACATTTCAAGCTCAAACGATTCCCCTGACGAATGTAATTTGAGTGACAAACATGAAAGAGCGTCAGGGCTGCCTCCATCTGCTCGTGCCTCAACAGCCGCAGCTGCCTGTGTAGCTTCTGCAAGTGATGATGAACGAAAAGCTTCACCTCCAGTGACCTTGACAGGGTCTGAGAAGAATCCATCTCCCAGCAACAGTAACCCTGCGATGGCTAAGAATCCCCCTGCAGAACCCACTGACTCCCAAGTGGTGGCTCACAAGCCTCTCATAATGCGAAATGAAGAGAGAGGTCTTGGCCATTTGAAGCCTGAAACCACTTTTAGAAAAGAAGCTCAAGAGATATCAGGTTTGTAGTGATATTTCTTCCTTTTATGTGCCTCCACAGAAACAGGCAGTTTTTAACACGAAAGTTTGCCCTTTGAATCTTTTTTTTTCCTTCTTTTAAAGAAGCAATGCTGTTTGGTTTGTTTACATTTAGGAAAATGTGAGAGTGCTGGTGAACCAAGCTCAGATGTGCAGTCGTCAGAGAGCAGTTCCAGTAACCTGACAATTTCTTTGACACAATCGGAGCTCGAGGAGGATTTACCAGACGAGGTTTCATCAGAAAGAAATACCTCTCGCAGAGGAAGTGAAGATCACAAACAGCATCGTCCTGATTCATCCCTCCATTCTGATGGGTCTAAGAACGCAGAACTTTTAACCAGTAAAGCCTCAACTCCAGGAGTGATTTTGAAAAGGTAAAGTATGTCTGAGATGCTATTGTTTGTGAAAATTTAAAGAGACTACCCAGTGCTGTGCTTTTGTATGCAAATATGTTGTTTCATATATACTTTATTCCATCACACAAAGCATATACATTATTCTAGTAATTATGTACACTAGGGCAAAAACTTTTTGGGAACTTGGAATAGACTGCTGCATAGATGCTGAAGCATTTGAGTTGCACGGAAGTTAAAAAGGGTTAATTATGTTTTTGGGCCAAAGTTCGAATCTACGGTAATGTTATCCAAGTCATGATGGATGGTGAACTGTGTTGAACAATGACAAGATCTTCTTCTGGACTTTAAGTGATATAAATCTGTTCTGTTTTTAGCACTTTTTCCATCTGACATGTGTCTGTTCATCACTTATGAAACTAAATGACATATAATGCTTGTCCTAACTTTAAGGTATAGTTGAGATTTTTCTTTTTCTCTGTGGATCATCAAAATAAGTGGTCCTCCTAATTGTCAGTCATTCTGGTGATATGTTTGCGTAAGGCTGTCCTATCTGCTCGTCCCCATTGTCACTTACTGGTGGTTTGTCTGACATAGTGGAAAAATTTGCAAATCTTCTAATAGAAAGTGAGCGTTTATGAGCAATGCAAACAGCAACTTTTTAACAGAGCGTGCACGAGGGGAAATGGGCTCATACACGCTCTGGCACGTGTTTAATAGGCGTTCCCTCTTTGGAGCAGGTACATGGTTGTGCATGTGCATTTCTTTTTAAAAGTGGAGAGGGCGGTCTTTTCAAAAATCTGCAATAATCCTCCACTATACCTTTAATTGGTTATGGACTTTGGCTTTCTGGAACAACTTATCTCCATGCAACTGTTTTTTGTTTTTTTTTACTCCTTAAATCTGCCCTACTTGGTTTTTAAAAAATATATTCATGGGTGTTAAGATTTATTTTTTGTGTATTTTTTTTTTAAAGAAAACTTGGTTATTTGGCTTTAATAATACATATGGAACAGTAGAAGGTAACTTTGGGTTAATATTATTCCATCAAAGAGGAGGCTGTGTTGCCATAGATAAGTATGCATTATCAATTGATAGACGTGATCTATTGTGCTCAATCCACATTCTCTCTTTTATGCTTCCAACTTTCTCTGTGGCCTTCAGCACCTTGGGTATTGTAGTCTGTGTTAAGTGTTGGCGTTCTTTTCCGATGCCAAGCGGCTGAATTTTTCTATTTTTATGCAAAAGTTTATTCTTTTTTTTTTATATAGTGGATTTTGTTACCTAGCAATTCATTCCAAAGACTTCTCTGCTATTTTAATAGAGATATTATATCCATAAGAAATTGTAATTTTTTTTTTATAATAGTCAACAACCCTAAATAGGTAATATAAGGCATTTAACATGCCAGTTTGCCCCCGTATTTCATGGAGATAGTTAAAAAAATGAAAGCAGGTTTAAGACTTAGCAGAAGGGCAAAATGATCAGGTGCCAACTCAATGTTTTTGTTGCTTCTGTTTAAAAAAAAAGTCAGGTAATTGATTAGAAGCATAAAAAATAAGTAAAAATACAAATAGAGGTGCTAAAGAACTGATCAGTTGTGTAATGCCTTATATGATTTTATCAGAGGCATTTATGCACAGATGCTTGCTAGCTTAGCTTTGGGAGGGTAGATTTGCTTTCTTAGTTAAATAAATGGCTTACATCAAAGTACCAAAACATTTAGACCATCACATGTTAACTTATAATTGCCAATCAATATGCAAAGTGAGTTTAATTGATTTCATTAAAATCAGTTTTGCTGGCTTCAAGTATTTTCTTCTGTGTTAGCATATAGTCCTTTTAAAACTGATAAAATGTGGTTAGCCTTTTTTAAAGTTCACTTAGTTGTATTTTGTGATGTTCTTTACTAGCATCAAATCATAGGTTTACAAAGAGGAGCAGTGGGAGTCACAGTCCAGGCAGCATTGTTTTCTAGAGCCTTGCATTTGCAGCGACTGTTGTGGCAGTGATGCATCTTATAGAGAGAAGAGCTTAGGACCTGTCCACAACAATATTGCCATAATCCAAGATAATGCTCTAACAGAGCAATTTTCTGCTTGAGAGACCTCAGGAAGTCCCCACTGGAGGAGGAAATTGTGGCACCATAGAGTGTTCTGGAGGGTGGGCATGTGGACAGCACTTACAGCCACAAATCCTTAGCGTGATGATGGCTTCTGAGTTGAAGGATCACTTTGGATGGAGTCAGAGTCACAGAAATCCCCATGCGAATGTTTTTGCACGCCGTGCTTCAGCTTTTTCCCTCTTCATATAAACATTTTTGTAAGCAGGCCCATGTGAGCATTTTACAGTCCACTTTCTTTCTGTGCATATATAAACACATTTGTTTATGTGTTTTCTCTTTTTCTGTGTTACACTAGAGATTGCACCATGCTTACTGTATGTATTGTAATTGCAAATAAAGAGAATGTTTTTGAGCATTTGCTCATTAAATCCTCTTTATTTAAAAGTTAGTACAGCCTTTGTTTATTTCTTAAGCAGTTTGAGGGATTATATTTTCTCTCTAAGAGTGCACCAGCCACATTTATGTGTGGTCTGTCATACTTTTTATGGCGTGACCCGAAGAGGAGCTGCGGTTAGCCTGCAATGGAGAGACGTCGGTGGGGGCTGCAGCCCTCTTTGCTAACAAAGAGAGCTTCTGTGTCTGAGGAGAGAACCAGAGGCTTTGATGTAAAGCTCAGAGAGCATCCAGTCTCTATACTCTCGCTCTCTTTTCCTCTCCCTTAAGGTTAGAGTTTATATCGCTCCTTCCATTCAAACCCCAGTCCCGGGCAATTCATTAGATTATCCCATTATATTATTTTTTTCCTCCAGCACAGACAAACTGAGGGAGACTGAAATATTGTCTGAGTTTCTTCTCAGAGTAGATTCATAATGGCCCCAGTGTGTCGGCTTCACCAATATAGTCTCACCTAACTGCACAATAGCTCAGGGTTTTTTTTAAACTTTCAGACATACTTCTTTAAGTCACAATAAAAGACCAGCAGGAGAATGTTAACAGTATAGAATTAATTGGAATTTAATTGCAATGTCATTATTTCATATATAAAGAGAAAACGGGGGTGCAAGATTTGTTTTATATATATAAATATATATATATATATATATATATATATATATATATATATATATATATATATATAAACATATATATATATATATATATTAGGGCTAAAACAATTAATCATGATACATCAATTTTTGAAATAATCGTCAACTAATTGATTAATTGATTAATTGATAGTAATTGATTAATCCTTAACTGAAGTATAGAGACTGTAAAACATGACTTTAGCTGATAGAGCATTTGCCCAAAAAAATAAATTAATAAAAAAAAATAAAATAAAATATATATATCTATATATATCTATATATATATATATATATATATATATATATATATATATATATATATATATATATATATATATATATATATATATATATAAACATTTTGCATTTGAGATTAAAAACTAGTCTGTCAATATGCTCTATTCAGAACTCCACCTGGTTTAATTTAGTATCATCTTCAAATATCATCTTCAAGGAGCCAATCATTAATGGATTAATAGAAAAAATAATCGACAGGTTAAACCATTTGCAAAATAATCGTTAGTTGCAGTGCTAATAATATACATATATATCCACACATATATATATATATATATATATATATATATATATATATATATATATATATATATATATATATATATGTATATGTGTGTGTGTGTGTGTGTGTGAGTGTGTGTATATGTATATATATATATATATATATATATATATATATATATATATATGTATAATTTTAAACTCCTCCTCACCCATCGCGGGTGGTCTTCCCTCCCTTTTTTCCTCCCGGCTCCTTTTCTAAAACTCCAAGCAACAAAATAAATAACAACATGCTATATGATTTGTGTGATTATGATCTGGTAGGAAACAAGGAAAGAAGGAAAACTCTTTCATTTTAAGCTTCACATAATCAGAGAAAACTTTGATCACTTTAACATTTTCATGAATTGACTAGGATGCATCTGACAGAAATGACCCACTGAACGGTTTGCACAAGCTGTCAGGGCAGGACACAGTTAAAAAATGATCATGGTTTTGGGGAACAAAGCCTGTGTTTAAAAGCACACCTGCTGCACATCGTGTGCTGGGACTATTTGTGGCTACATTTATGAGTTCTGTTGGGAGTTATTTTTGCCATCTGTGCGAGCGGCATGTTTCCCCCTGACACTGATCACTCAATTTTGAGCCTATTTCTGTGTGGTAAAAATCACACCTGACCTCTTACACCTGGTTAAAGCAGACTTCTGAGGGTGTTGACATCTTGACAGCAGCAATATCTAAAAACATGTTAGACGCTGTGATAAGACAAACTAGTAAGAGAGGTTTGCAGAAAATACACTGATTTATTCCATCTCTAAGACCTTATATGATAAATTTGGACAGCTAACACTGTGGATAGATTTTTGCCTATTCTTAGAGTGATTGCTCACTACATTGTGTCATGGATAAAGTTTAAGCTTTGAGTTTAATCAGAGTTTTATCAGGAAAACAACATGGAAGGGAACAAGCATTTGCTGACCTTTCACCCAAGAGCCTATTACAGATTGCCATAAAGTCCCACTGAGCCCTCTTTAAAGGAAGGTCGGCACAGAATGTCTCTACTGGGGATTCTGGGAGAATTCAAAGCGGGCCACCCAGACCTGAATGCACAATAAAGTGATGAATTCTGCATATCCAAATGCATTAAATACCCATTTCTTATGCTGGACCAGATAAAAAGTATGTAACCCACTAAAGTAGTCATCTAGAGCCCTTCTACTGTTTGATAATCTATTGTTGTCTTCTAATATATTACTTATATTCATCTTTGTCTTGTATAGGACTGAACTCTACAGGATATGTCCTTTATTTTATTGCAAAAGCAGACGGAAGTTGCTTTTTCTGAGTGCCAGGTGTCCAAGCTTTTCTGTGCAACCTGTTATTACATGCGGCACCATCAACAGACAATGAAGAGTTGAAATCCTGCATTGTTGCCGTCATGTTTTGATGGCCGGATTCTCCAGTAGTCCTTGAGTACCTCAAGGAAATTGCCTGGAAAAAATATATATATGTCAAAGATTTTTGTATCAAATGGCATCCGTTTTTTTTTTTGTTTTTTCCTTTTGCAGATGACAACCAATCGATCATATGACCTCCACTTCCTCTGTTCCCTTTCATCACAATATTTGTCTTTTTTTTTTTTAGACTCTCTCTGGAAGGGCTCTTTAATCTGCTAGACTCCATCGAAGGGCGACTCCACAACGAACAGAATCACGTGTACCAAGATTCTTCAATAGATGGAAGGCAACTCAATAGGATTATCAGGTACATCCCTCCTGTCTTTCTTCAAACTTTGCAATCTTATCTCTCCCTGTCTAAACGGGAGGCCATTTAAATTTATTTAATAGCTGTGGAGCAGTTTGTGTAGATGAGAAAAACATATTATCCTTCTGCTGAGGGCTCTCACATTAGATGAAGTGTCATCACCAACAGGCGCGCGTCTTTATTTCTGAGGGGTTTTTCAAACGCATGGGATTGTTATAGTAACCACCCCGGCTCAGTTGTTATTGGGAGTCAAAGAGATAGAGGACAGCGAATGTATTTCATTAGAAAGAGCTTCTTTTTCATAAGCTTTTTATATTTCGTTGCATGAATCATTTACCATAATTGCTGCTTGCTGTCGTAAAGCATAAAAGAATAAATGTACCAGAAGACGGCTGTCTAACTACATACTGTGTACTTATCTCTGTCTGTTGTGTGACCGTCGGGTGTCATGACCCTCGTAACGTTCATTCGGATTGATATTTATGTTTACGTTTGTTTAGGATGTTTGTTTGTCTTCAATTTGTTCTTTGCAACACTGACCGGGCGCTCACCTCAGGGCGCCGTGGCAATAGCTGACCACTTTCTATATATCGGGCAGACTTTGTGAGGACGGAGCAGGCTTGGATGATGAGGACCTTGAAGCGTGTGGCGCTGTCGTCCTTCATGAGCTCCGGAGGTTGTCATGGAGCATGGAAAAGGGCTGCGTGCTACCAGGGGAGCTGGTGAAAGCGTATCAGTCCAGCCCTCAGTCTAATGAAATAAGGTCAGCTTATTTTTTATTATTGCAGGAACTCAAAGGCAAAAATTGACATAGATCTTTCTGTGTTTTACATTGTTTTGTTGTTTGCTTGTTATTACGTTTTTGTAATGTTGAGTGTTATTGTTTAAACTAGGGCTGCAATTAACGATTATTTTATAAATCAAATAATCTGTCAATTATTTTGTTGATTAATCAATTAATAATTGGATAGCCAAAGGTTGCTTGAAGATTTTTAACGAATACAGGTAACTTGAGGAGTTCTGGATAGAGCATACTAATGGATGAAAATGTTTTGTTTTTTACCTTAAATGCCTTAAATTTTTACAATTTTGATATAATTAATGCTGTAAATGGGTCGCTCTGTGAGCCAAAGGCATATTTTACAGTCTCTATACTCCAGTTAACAATGAATCGATTACTTAATTAGTTGTTGATTATTTCAGTAATCAATTAATCACAATTAATCCGATTAATTATTTCAGCCTCAGGCTAAACCATGCATGTTTCAAAGTTCACAATTCTTAAAACTTTAAGTGTGTTTTAAAACCTAGAAAAGACAAAAACAGCGATGAATATTGCTCTAGTGGCTGGAGTTCAACAGAGTTCTTTATGTAAAGTATGCACTCACTGCAGAGGTGAAATACCCTGCACAGACTCAATGTATACTGTATGTTCTTTTTACTTTTATTTTATTTCTACGGACAGCGGTTTCTGACATATCGCATACCACAGTTTGATTGGTCTGCCTTGTCCACAAACGTGAAAGGTCATCTTTGGTGTCCCCCGTGCGGCACGGTGAATGTCATGAGTAAATTAAAATGCCCTATCTGCGACTTCCAGTCCTTTTGGATAATGTGTGGTTATACTGTGAGCCAAATCTTAGTTCTGCTTCACTAGCCTATTGATTTCACCAAGACCTTTCCTATTATATACTCGATTCTAAGAGACACATCCAGCAGTTTCGCTCTCTGGAGATGCCAATTGGTTGACCTCAACCTATTATCCTGTTTTTTAGCCTAAGGTCATATCAGTATCTGTGTGTGTTCGGTGTTAACTGGAAATTAATCAATAATCCGAAGCTCTGATATTGTTTAAAGATGGAACTGAGAAGATCCTTTTAAGAAAATACCTCAACTAACATGAATCTATTCAGTATAATACATTTTGTTTCCGGCAAGCTTTCTCACATTTCTGGCAATTTTTTTCTGGTTTGATTATATGTTTTTTCCTCTGAAGAAGGATCTTTTTTAGTCTGTTTTCTATGCTGCCTTACCCCATCCACAGCACCAGCCTCCCTCCCAATGCTGCTCAGCTGTGGGATCGCTGGTTCAAGCACGCCCTTGTGCTCAAGGAGAGCCGTGTCCTCAACACAGAGCGCTTGGTCCAGCTGTTCACGCCGCTTCTGCTGGAGCGTGATGCCGACTACAGCCAGCAGGTAGCGTCAAAGACACACAAGCTCTCATGGGGGAAATAAACAGTCACATCAAAACACATTCAACCATCTATAAATGTCTGAGGTTTGTTTTTGTTCTTCTGTTTCTTATGTCTTTCCTTTTTGTGCTCAAGATTCTCTAATAGGGAGCCTACTTCATTCATCAGGAATAAGAAATAAATCTCCTGTGGTTAAATCAGAAAACACTTACCTTTCTTGTGGATTAGCCATTAGCTAAATCAGTTTTAAATTTTACCTCTTTAAAAAAACGTTTTCATGCAGTTTTTTAAAACTCATAACACATTCCCCTTGTCGCCAGCTTACCATATTTGTTAGACTTTTTTTCACTTTCTCTCATTAAAACCACATGTTTTATTGTATTATAATAGGGATTTATTCGGTAGACTAATAAAAAGTAGTTTAGGATTGTAAAAAGGCAACAAAATTGCCACCTTTAAAAAAAGGGGTTACAGCTTGGTCTCATCAGAGCTCTCCTTGCATGTGTTTGCCCTGTAAATGTGAAAATGTGTATGGGGTGTGAATACTTTCACAGACATCCAGTCGAGAGACCGCTCATATTATTGGGATTATTGTGGCTGTGCTACATACTGCTGTACCTCCACCTCAATGACAGAGGCAAAGAGGGAGGCTGTAGAGCCTCTTCAAAATATGAACTGACAAAAGAAAGAGGGGTACCACCAACTACATCATTGTATCCAAGTGCATCAGAAAGAGGCGGAGTGAAATCTTTCTCTTCTTTTATCACTTTGAGTCTCGCTCCATCTATTTCTCCCTCCTATCCCCCACTCCGCCATATCCCCCTTTATGTCCCTCTGTCCTCTCGCTCTCACCCTGTGCACATGGGCTCAGACAGACATTTCCATTCACATCCTGCCACGCCGCCTGGCTACTCCAACAAATGGGAGCATGCAGCTCGCATGCACACACTTAAAGCGGCCCTTTGAATATTCAAGTGCTAACAGTTGTATTCATTGATATTTAAAATGCAGCAGAACCCCTTGCTCATGGTACATTTGACCAAATCATAAAAAAAGGGGATTTTAGGGATAAGGATCAAGATGTTTTTTTTTTTTTTCTTTTTTGCAGTTGCATCAAATCTTGAGCGGGAAAGTCAGATCAGCATGTGTTTGCATCTTTTCCTCCACTCAAAAAATGAAAGCTTGTGCCTCGTTGATCTTCCCTGTGACCTACTGATAACAGCTCACAATGCACTCAAATGTTTGTCGCTGTCAAAATCCTCCTGATCATCGCTTTCATATTTAGCGTTCATTAAAAGTTCTGAATGGCCGTCCAAGGCTGAGAGACTGCCTTTGATCACAAAAGAGAGATGATGATGGCAGGATTTGATTTGGGTGAAGAGAAAGAAAATCTGCAGTGGCATCTCCCAGAACAGCCTCTCTTAATTGTGTATCCTCATCGCCACAGAGATAAAAATGAGCTGAAGAGGCGGGAAAAGAGTAGTCGGTCTCTATCCTCTCAGCCAAGAGGAAAGATATCTGAAACGTGTTGCACATTAACGGCAGGGTGATTGCATTCTTTAGAAAACTCTCTAATCTCATGGATGAGAAGAGAGGGAGTGAGAAAAAGCTAAAGTGGATGAAGAGAACAGCAGCATGAGAAGTCATTTTTTTTTTGTTTCATTTTTTTTTAAAGCAATTTAGGAGGTTTGAGGTTATTGGATGTTGGTGTAGGAACACACATTACAGCCGGAGCTCGGCGTGATTCAGCCATGGCCAAAGTTCAATTTGACGCTTCCTTCACAAAATGAGAACAATTAAGAAGGTGGTTTTAATTTGTTCTGTGCGCAGGCCAAAGTGTTGCTGAGGGCACTTCTCTCCCGGTCCAGTGAGGAGGGCCCCTCAGCAGAGGATGAGAGTGACTCTTCTTCTTTGTGCAATAATTCTTCTGCCTTAGCGGACGCAGATGTGAAGCCTTCCCGCTCTGTACACACACAACACATCGAAGGTAACTGCAGATGTTTACATTGTGTATTATGCTTATATGCTCCTATAATATTGGATACAAAATGTGAATTTTAGTCAAATTTAGTCAGTTCTACAGTCTCCTTGCAGCAGAGGCTCAAACTTGACATATGACAACCTAAAATGATATACGGCACAAAGTGTGCTAGCAAACCAGATGTAAAAGAATGAAGACAATGTGCATATATCACAACTATTACCATTTTTCACATTCTCTACCAATATTTTTGCCATTGCAAAGTTTCCTAATGTCATGATGAAGCACTAATATTAACATACTTTGTAGGATCTTGTCATTCAACTCTATTCAATTTAATTTAATTATATTTATTTATGTAGTACCAATTCACAACAGATGTCAAATCAAGGCACCTTACAGAAACAATTCAACCAGATCATACAGTCGGATTGGTTCAAATTTTTCTATTTAAGGAAAACCAGCTGACTGCATTGGCTCATTGACTCAAAACCAATCCCTTACACCAAGCATGCTTGTAGTGACAGTGGAGAGGAAAAGTCCATTTTTAACAGGTAGAAATCTCTAGCAGGGAAACACTGATAAACAGGCCAGCTGAGATTTCTCTCCAGGATAGGTCACAGTCAAACAGCAACAGACCAGATGAAGCTACTATGATGAGAAAAAGCAGAGAGTTAGAGGGAGAGAGTATAGAGGTTGGAATAACAAAAACTCCACACTAAAGTTTGTTATTGTTAGCTTGGCATGGGAGCGCTGATGAAAAAAACCCTTTCATTAGAAAAGGGAGATTTTTTTTCTTTTAGATTCTGACCAACCAGCTACTAGTCAGAACCAAACATGCAGGAAATTGGTTAGATCTGGTTCCACTGGTTCCAGTTTATATAACTGCTCTTAATTGTTTTGTGTTGCTTTTGATTATGTTTTCTGCAGAAAAAAAAATCTTTTTATGAAAAAAAACTGTTTACATAGAACATGTTTTATTTACTCTGACAGTTATAGTCTTTAATTCAGACATGAGAAATGAACCCCCTTTTTTGATACCTGTCCAAGACTCCCTTCCTCCTTGGCGTTGCTTCTCAGTGTGTGCTTTCCTTTCTTTCAGAACTACAAAGCACTAAAGAGGACAGCCAGGACGAAAGCCCGGTGGAAAGTGGTCCTATTAGAGGTAAAAAGGCATTGCTGGTGCCTCAGCATTCACACTGTCCTTATGTTGTGTTTTGTTTTCTTCCTACTGCAGTGAATAATGGGCTCCTTTACACAATGGCTGAGGCAGGATGATCAAGGTGAATCCAGGGTCAAAGTCCCACCTGAAGAGCCATGCTTGTTCCCTCTAATTATCTTCCAGAAAGCACTAACCATGTTTCCAGCCTTGTCCGAAGAATTCTGGCAGGACTTATAATTCGCTGGCCTGGCAACGCAGGCGCTTTAATTGTCAGAGCACCAGGGTAGGCAGCACAGAAGATCTGTCATCGGTTCTCATTATCTTCTAAACAATGCTCCGGCAGGGCTGGACTTGAAAAAATACTAGATGTGACGGCATCCTGGAAGCAGTTGGTGTGCCCATCCTTTAGCTCACCTCTGAAATGTAAAGCCAGACCAGCGTTACCCGTAGCTGTCAGATTTCCAACTGGGTTTTTCATGTGTCTGCATCCCCAAGCTGCACAGCCTGGGAAATGACTCCGGTTTCAATTTGCTGCACTTAATCAAAAGAGCTATAACCAGCTAAAGGAAAACACAAGAGTAAAGATTTTTGCAAAAAAAAAAAAAAGATTTTACTCTGCTGAGCGATATTTCTGTCACAAATACCTTGACCTTGGAACTAAGAGTAATTGCCAAGAGATGCGCTTTAGTGAGTGCATGTAACAGCAGCTGCTGTTTAAAAGGTTCTGGGAGATGAGTCAACACTTAATGCTTTTAGCAAAGGAAAAATGTAAAGGCCCTTTAACTACCGCTTGAAATGGTTGGTTTTGTTCATATGTTGGCAATGTTACCCTTTTTTTTTTTATTCATATGACCTTTTTGGATTTATTTTCAAAATACTGAGTGTAATCCACTCAAAATTGAAAGTAAAAAAAGAAAAACATCCCCAACTATTAAGTTTTCTAACATTTTATCATATAAGAACTTCAAATGATTTTACCATATTCTTAAGTATAAATCAACTAAATTTTTTATATAATTGTGTAGTAAAATAAAAATGATACATTTAAAAAGCTGGGTCTGCATTTACATATTGCCCCCCCCCCCCCCTTTAACGTTATATTACAATGTGTTATCAATCTCCTTGAAAATGAAAAAAAAAAAAAAATCAGGAAGATAGAAAATAAATATTGTAAAATAATTATCCTTTTTGAGCCCTCCCAAAAAAAAAAAAAATATCACAAAAACTCATCACTTTCCTCTGTTTATGAGGAAAAAACACAAAAAACTCTACAGGTCAGCGTATAGGCCGCACACAGCCTTTATGGCTGCATTTTCCTTTTCTTTAAACATAGTTCCATTTTTTTTTTTATATATATATAGACCTGTCAAATTTCTACATCTGTTCTGGTTTGAGAGTCTGCACAGACTTTACAAGTGGGGCTTTGCGCCGGTTCTTTTTTATTTAATAATTTTGATAACTTTTCATTGTCTGTCCAAGTGAAATGTGGGATTTTTTTATATGAGTGGCAAAGACAGAATGGGCACAGATCTGCTCACCCTACCTAATCGGAGCCTCTGTATACGCACAACATTTAAATGTCGTACTCCTCTTGCATGATTGTGTCCCTGCTGATCTATAAGGATGTCATGATTATCCGAGGCTCATTCTCCCCTGTCCTTTTCCCCACAACAGTATTAATAAAAGCATCAGCTGATATCTGTAACCATTTAGCTTAACCTTGATAGAATCATGCTACAGTTTAAGTCTAAGACCCATTTACTATAAAAAGAAGTATTATTTACATGTTATTAGAGGAGTAGGGGTGTCAAAAAAAATTGATCTTTCAGTTCCTAATATTGATTAAAAATTGCTCTCTTTTTTTTAGCTAAAACAAGAGTGGACTACCTCTGCACTGCCACTCTTGTAGATGGCGCTGTGGAGCCTTTTTACTGTGCAACACATCACCATCTCTGTAGTTGAAGCAGTCACAGAGGAAGAAAGACGTGAACTGACTCAAACCCCAAACAATATTGATTCAGATGAACATATACAGCACTTACTTTTTATTTTGATAGCTGGGTAAAATATCGCAATATATAGTGATATCGCAATATTGTGATAATATTGTATCATGACCCCAAGTGTTGCAACACGTATCGTATCGCAACACTCATGCCAATACTCACCGCTATAAAAGCGGGATCCTCTAGGCAAACAATCTGGGAATAAGCCCAGAGGATAAGCGCCTTGAGGTGGCAGCAGCCTACATTACTTTTGGTAAAAAAAAAGTTAAGTTTCTGCAGAACCTCTTTCACCCTACTTTACCAAATCCAGTCACTGATTGGTTAGGGTGATGCAAATTGACAGAAAGGTTCAGGTTTTTCGTCTCCAACAAAATTCACTTTATGTCCATCGCTGGTTTCATTCTGTCCTCACCCTGCTCTATTTACCCTAACCTATCCACTTTGCTCCTAAACGTGGGATAACATGTAGTGCTGAAACAATTAATAGGATTAATGGATTTATTTTTTAAACAATCGTCAACTAGCTCATCAAACGATTAATCGTTAACTAGAGTACAGAGACTCTAAAATATGCTTTTAGCTGACAGAGCAACCCACTTAGAGCAATAATTATACCAACATTTTTAAATAATATATCAACATTTTGCATTTAAGCTGAAAAAAATTTCCATCTGCCAATATGCTCTATCCAGAACTCTTTAAAACTCCTAAAATTTTTACTTACACCTAGTTTAATTCTGTTAAATATCTTCTTGACAGAACCTTTTACTATCCGATTATTAATTAGTTAATTGACAAAATAATCGACAGATCAATCATTTAGTAAAATAATTGTTAGTTGCAGCCCTAATAGAATATAAATCATTTGCTCCAGTTGCATTGAAGGCTGATTAAATTCAGAAACCAGGTCGTCTGCGTGTGTGTCGCAGTGAACACAAATGTGTCCCCGCCCCTTCCGCAGAAACTCTGCTGCACCTCTCCAAAATTGTAGGTGACCGCAGGCAGTGTCGTAGACAGGAGGCCTCTGATTGGTCAAATCTACATTCGCTCGGCTCTATGCGTATTTCCTGTCTGGTACCTTACTTACTTGTTTTGTTTGTATGACCGGCATTGTGGAAAACGACTAGTGAAGTTGGACCAGCTAGAAGAGCGAGGTGCACGAGAACGCTGGGACCCTTTTTCCACCTGGATCCCCACTCTTTTTTGCCCTCATGTCCCTCCGTTGTTGCACATATTTGCCCCTTTCGTTTTCTTTACCGTCTCGGCTGTATCTAGACCCACAGCTAGTTTGTGATTGTCCCTCTCGCGTTACAATAACATATCGCAGACCACGCTTCAAAATTGGGCATAAATCAAAAATATCTGCGACAAGCTCACTGCGACACGCTGCTGCGGGAGGATAACCAGCCCTTAACCCCTTGAACTTATCTAAAACTTTTCTGATCATACCAAAGACGCAAAGTGCTTTTAGACTACCAGCCCCAATCACAATGCTAAAACAGTCTTACAAACATATGCAACAATCCGGGGGAATTGAGGAGACACCAGCAATGCAATCATGCTCTACTTGTAGATTGTCTATCTCATAAAATACCACTGAAAATTGTCACAGACTATCCCCAAAATGATTCCACACCAGTTCTCTTAAAGGATGCCAAGATATTGTTTAATAGTCACTGTTATCTCCAGGACACTGTCTTCATTTCTAGTTTGGTTGATTCATCAGCTCAACTTTCTGTTCAGCAATGAGCCTAAAAAACAAAACTCATCTACCGGAGCATGTTGCTTAATCAAGCAGAGAAACCTGTGCTGGTTGGAAACCTGGAATATAGCAAACACTTGACTGTGACTTTATGTCTGTGTGTGTTTGTGTGTCTGTGTGTGCCCTCTGAGCAGAGACAAAAGCGTATCAGTTACTTAGACAGTCGGCCATGCAGAAAAGACCGACGAGTTCTGAAGAGGAGGAAAGCAGCCTTTCAGGTGAGCGACCTGAACATGACCATTTAAAATCTTTGTCTTTTGTTTACTTTTTGTGCGTATAAGGGAGCCCAAGGCTAGATTTGGGATTCTGCATCAGTATTACTGTTAGCGTAGATGGTAAAGTAGCCTGTGATGAGATCAATGAACAATCAAATGGTTTTATCTGGGGCTGTTTGCTCTTTTAAGGAATAAATCATGGCCATGAAGAGGACCTGGGGAGGGCCAAACGCTCCTCACATCAAGACCCTTACCCTCGGTAAGAACATTGTTGTTATTCAACGGGCCACAGGAAATGGGCCACCAGACACCAAAGTGGTTGATGTACATTTGCATGGCGGCTCTCATAATTCCCTGTTCATTTCCATAAGATCAAGGGGGCGCCACCCATTAACTCGCTTACAAAGACAAAAGGCCCCTAAAGCCCCTCTTACTCACTGTTAGCAGGGTTCAACCAGGTTTTCAGGATTCAAAAGCAAATCAGGTGCCACAAAAAATTAAATTGGAGCTACAATCCTACTGTTTTCAGGCTTGTCGTCAGAATGCAAACAGATCATGTCAAGAAGAGAATCGACGAAAACTGTGTCAGAAGAAGGGGACTCGAGAGTCGATAAGGACAAATGTCCTCTCATCCGTCACCCTCCAAACATTATTTACCGTCTAATGATAACTAGCTCGCCATAAGCTCACACCGTCTCTGTTACATTTGAATATCAACACAACTTCATCAAATCTGCAATCGCGTTTTTGGTCCTCAGAGCGCCTCTTCACCGCAGACCCATTTGGGCTTCAGTAATGGCTGGATAAACGTTATGAGGAATAATCTTCTCTGATTTCATATGATTACTGGGCAACACGCTGACACGAAGGCTGAAGTCTGTATCTCCCTGGCAAACAGGCGCTCCAGTCTGCCTATTAGTCCATGGAAGGGCCTAATGGCCTGGCTCTATTGTGGTCCTCCTCACTCCTGCCCCTGCCAGCACCACTGACCAACGTATTTAATAAACATGAGCCAATTTTGGGCAAAAAAAAAAAGCCCCTCTCAGGTGGTGTCTGTCTCACAGTCAGGGACGTGCATGTGGAATCCATAAAGTGTGTGATTAAACAAAATTTTCAGGGCAAAATGTAGACATCCAGAATGCAATGATGAAATACAAAGTGTATGTATGAATAAAAAGGACAAATGGGTAGTTAGGCATGCCTGATACTGTAATCTCCTCTCAGTAAGGAAAGAGGCATCCTAATCTTCTTTTTGTCGTAGCACAGATATCTCTAATTTTTCCACTGTACTCTGATTTAAGCGTCCCCCTTACCACGGCTACTTTTGCAGTTTATTGCTCCCACAAGTGGTCTGGAAGCCCGCCACTTCAACAGAAGCACAACACTGCAGCTTTTCTCCTTCCCCCCGTCTTTCTTGCGCCTTCTTCATCCCTCTTCGCCTTTTCCTCTGTCATCCCATGTTTTCTTCCCCCTCCTCTCCATCCCTCTTGTTAATTATTTGCTTTATTTTGTCAGTGAGCTGATGAGTGACTTCAAAAGGAGGACGGAGCTGGACTCGAAAAATACAAAAATGGCTCTGTCTCTGTTGTCTTAGACAATAATTATGATTTGCCTGTTAAGCCTGGGACTACAGCAGAGGGATTGTAGTTTAAAGCAGAGGCTTTGGTACAAAAATGCATTTATAGCCCTTTGTGAAGCTCCTCATTATGTGTGGGCTCGATTCATTAAGTAATTGGTTTGCAGTTGTTTACATGAGTATTAAGGCCTTCTATTCAGGGCCTTTGAGAGATACATTGTGCAAATGTTGCATGTTATGAATGCAGAATGAGAGGCGGGGGGCCAGTGCTATTGGCCAAACACTGCTCCCAGCTGAAAAGCGAGAGAAAAGCTCTGGGCGCTGCTTTGCATAGTAATGACTCGGCCTTAATAAGCTTTACAGATTAAATACATGCAGTCTATACAAGATGCAAGGAGATACTCTTAACACATTTATATGTGCTCATTTCCCTATTATGGAGTTGGAGAGATTTGGACTCTTTCATATTCTTTTTTTTTCTCTCTTCATTGCTCTCTCCCACACAGCGTTTTTCAGTCTGATACTTTTATGGACTTTTCTGTTTATTGTGTTATAACTTGCAGGGAAGCGACTGATCTGCAACAGTTATTACGGATTTTTTCCCCCCACTTTCTAAATCTTTTGCAGTCAAATCACTTTGTGGTTGAGTGGGGCTGAAAAGAATAATGCACGAAGGAGTGAGTCTTAATAAGCAGCTGCACTCCATGTAAAGACCACTTGTTCGCCTTTGTATGCCGGTGCATGCCGCTGCTTCCTCTCGTGCAAAAGAATAATCTTGCCTTTTTCTTCTCCAGGTATTTTTAGATACCACTCCCTTCTTATTTTTCAGTGCAGGTTTTAAACTTACCATTTTAACCCACCTACCCTTTTTCACCCTAAAAATAAAATCCCCAACTCACGAGCAGCAACAGACAAAACAAAACGGCAGCTGCAGACGGGATAATAAGTGCCGTGCCTAGACCCTGCTTGACAAAAACCTTGACTCAACCATTAGTGGTTTACAGCTTTGGTTTGGAAAACAGGATGTGCTCAAGCATTCGACCTCAAATAACTATGTGTCAAAATCAGAAGCACTATCTGTCTCCCTTTAGACCACTCCCCTCTGTCTCATATGAGGTGGGGACTGTCGGTGCAGCACAGGCGACTCATGTAAAAGACAGATGGAGGGATGGGGGAAAACAGGAGCTGGAAGAGGGGAGGGAAAAAGGAAGACGTATAAAAACAGGAACATGAGTGGAGATGAAGTGCCAGTGGTTTTTATGCAATAAAATCCAACAGTGAGTTTAGTTAATCAAAAAAAAAGGAGAAAAGCTGCAGAACATCAGAGAGATTATGTTCCTGGTTTTGTTTTTTTTTTTGTCTTTTCTCAGAATGTTTTCATGGAGGGCAAACTTTGCTAAACCTTTTTTTTATTATTTAAGCAGTGTAGGATTTATTCCCTTTCAGCTCTGGTGATTAAAACAACACCAGTCCTATAGAGGTACCAGTTTTGATACATTAATGCACACAATCTTGTAAAACAGTGTTTTTTTGTTTTGTTTATCAACTTTATTAATCAGAACTGCTGCACCATGTTTTGTTCTTGAAAAGTAAAATCAGCAGGTCAGACCTTAAATAGCAGGCAGCCCCATAGTCGGTCCTCTAGGGCTGCTGTCCTGCAGGTTTTGGAGGTTTCTCTGCTACAGCACAGCTGATTCTGATGATTGCAATTCAGCAAAGGCCTGTTAATCAACTATAAATGTAAATCAGCGGTGCTGGAGCAGGGAAACCTCTAAAACCTGCAGGACAGCGGCCCTTGAGGACCGACTTTGGGGATGCCGGTTAAATAGAATTGGTATCGGTCAAGCCTGATCAGTGCATCTCTTCCAGTCCATTAACCTTTATTCTCTTCAAAGACTTTAAAAATAAGACAGCATTTAGATAATCAGACCAGTGGAGGTCACTGTTCTAAGCCTTCCTTTTGAGATTCACTAAACATCTTAAAAGATTGTTAAATATAATATTTATTTTTGATACTTTTTGTGTTTGAATATATCAAAATATTTTTTTTTTTTTTCATATAAGTGTATCTGTTAAACCACATATCATGATAAATGAGACTAAGAATGATAAACAATAAGAATAAAAACTGGGAAAAGAGGGCTTGGTGTAATAGTCTTTTTGTAGAGTGTAGCCCCAGAAACAGCCAATGAATGTTTGCCAGGCGTTGTCAGGGATATAAAGCAAAAGAAGCACCATGAATGCTTTGCCTGTCATTCAGCCTTTACACCGACCTTCTCTACTAGACTGCCACCAGTCAGTGGGAGAGGGAGTTGTGTTCAAATACCTCTCTGTTTGAGCTGCAGTTCTTGCTCGCTGCCAGCAGAGAGCACTCACACGTTGGAGAGCACCCACTCATGCTGCACTCACAGGTGCCTCTTACTGTTTGCCCCTACTGAGGGGCTACATCCTGCTACCATTCAGGTCTGTTAGAGCACATCTAAACGGAGCCTAAACAATGTTTTTGCAGGGTCATAGCTGGGATGGGAGTAGGAGTTGATGGGAATGATGAGGTGATGGGTCTCCCTTTACCTTTAGACAAGCAGCTGCAAGCAAAAGTGCTATTGTGCTATTAGCATTTGTGCGTGGGTGGCAGGAGCTTTAAAAATCTAGGATAAATAAAAGCAGGTTGTAGCTGCCGGCAAGGCAGTACTTAATGCTTTGTAAGCATTATTTCCCCTGATAGTCTTACGATGTTCTAATGAGACTCCAGGAAAGACACAGAACTGCACTTTTCTGACTCTTTGACTTTAATTTTATATCTTAGAAATGTGCTCAATTTGCATTTTGGCTGTCTCTCAAATTTAAATAAAGCTCAGAGTGATTTTAGCTTCTGTAAACATCTGCATCAATTCTTAAATCAGTATTGCTTCATTTGCAAATGTTTCTTGTATATAAAATAGGTGGTAATGGTTATTTTTGTTATTCTAGATTAGACCTAGACTCAACTTTATTTATCCCTTGGGATTACTTCTTCAGGGAAATTCTGGTTCCAGTAGTTTATATAGAGTACACAGAGTTAAAGCAAGATGCCATTAAATAAAATGATACAACAGTATTTAAAAAGAGTGTATATAGTACAAAAAAGCATAAAAAAGAAAAAAAAGTTGTAAATGTCCAGGAATATGTTTCCCTTAGATATAAAAATGTCTGCACAGTAGAGAGCTAAGAGAAGACTACGCAGTAGTTAACTTGGGTTTATTGCACTTGAACTGCAGAGATTTACTGACCGTATAAATAAGTAAAAATTATACAGACTATACAGATATTATTACATTTCTAAACGAATATCAATATTTGTAAATTTATGAAATCATTAACTATCATCATTTAACTAACATTTAACTATCATTTAACTATGATGTTATTAGTGAACTTTTACCGTTTTTACTCTTTAATGAATATAATGTAAATCTCCCTTGTATGGTATAAGACAACCTTTGGTAAGTATAAGCTTGTTCTTATACTGACTTAATAAATGACACAATTGAATCTTCTGCTGCTAAAACAGATTTTTTGTTAATGTTGATACAAATGCGTATGGAAAAACTGCTGCTGATAGAAGCCATAGTTATCTTCAGTACTTATTACACTGTATCTTAAGGCTTTTTTGCCAATTTACTCTTTAAAGAGTAACACGGTCACAACAAGTGGGGTAATTATTCGGGTTCTCTGCTGTGGTAGCCAGCCTACAATTAGGACAATAGTGTGCAACAATGTGTGAGTGTGTTGCATTACTATTTGCTTAATAAAGGCTAGAAAAACTCTGGTCACTCTGACACATTACCTTTCTTTAAAAGGACTTAAATATTTTGGAATGGTTTGACTGATGATTTATAAGAAGTGTTGCACAGATGCCATTTTTTGCGCCGATACTGATACCCTATACCTGGCTGTACAGTATTAGCTGATACTGATACCATACCAATACCACTTTTTTAAAATTGATGTGTGTGTGTACAGTATATATGAAAACAGGATAGTTCTTGGATGTAAAATAATTGCCATCATGGCTGTCAAGCTGCTGCCTACCTTTGTGAAGCAGGGAAAAAAAATACAAAGTGAATCCAGTAGAACTTTTTATTGCCTATCTGGAATGGGGGACAATAGCTGAACAAACTTTTGGCTCTGAAAATAATATCTGTACCCTATTTGTTGGTAATCGCTGATACTGATACCACCATTTTAGTGTTGGATCGGGGCCCCGCCTGATACTGGTATCGTATGGGTGCAACACTATTTACAAGCAGCTTTTAAAAACATTGGTATACTTTACACTGGTTGCTGGTGTTCAACATCAACATTGTGAGGTCAAAATGAAAGCTCAGAATATTTCACTCAAGGTAATGAAGAACATATGTGTTGAATCTGTTCTGCTTTAAAGGTTATTGGGATCTCAGATGGAAAAAGTAAAATCAGGAAAGCAAAAATATGAAACAACTACAAAGCTCAATTTAAGGGAATAGATGCAACAGTACTGGGTAACGTACATAGCAACAACTATGTTTTGCTTCCTTTCATAATATTCGCCTTCGTCTCCCTGGGCTGTGAAAGACATATTCAGATCATTGCCTCATTTAAGGGAAATTGAAAATGAACTACTATGAATACCTACTGAATTTTCAGATCTGTAAGGTCACATCCCTGCAGGGTTCATTTTGGTAATGGCTCTGTCTTGAAATCAGTGCTGAAGGGGAACTGTTGATAGACCATTTTCATTCTGTGGGGGGGAAGTTGGAGCAAAGAAATGCTCAATTTGCACTGTGCAACAGCTATTACTGTGACAGTGGACGTAATTTCCCAGATTATTGCTTTGTTTTTGCTGCAGCGTGTTCTGCTACAGAGCCTCTGTCACCATTTTTAGATATATTATGCATTTACCCTGAATACTAAAGACTTTGTTAACAATACTAAATTTTAGATCTTAAAATTATTATTTTTTCTCCTATCCATCATGCCATTAGGATGGTAGATTAATTGCTGGATAATAATGGACCATCGCCCCTCTCCCACCTGTTGCTTTGCATTGGAAGAAGACTACTACATTTATTCCTACCATTGGCTATTTTGAAATATTTCAAGTTTAAAAAAATTTATCTAATAGTTATGATGTATAAATTAAATTGATGCCAAATATAATAGTATAGCAGACAACCTTCTTGCATCTTTGAGTCTCCATTTTACGTTGTTGTGTATGCACACTTTTAATGTTTATGCATCAAGTGAGCTTTGGTTGCAGCCATTCATTGTTGCTCCCCTGCTTCTCACCGTATGCATTGAAAATGGCTTAGAGTCACAAAAAGTAAGCTGTCTTACAACTTTATAAGAAAAAGAGGAAGAATTGAAACAAAACAAATAAGACAAGTTTATTTGCAAGATTTTTTCACACAGAAGCAGGACGGCTCGTTTACAGTTATTTAAAAAGTGACTTGGGGATTTCTTACGTTAATTTCTGGAAAAATCATCCCCTATACTTTTACTACCAAATGTTGATATGATCAATGTTCCAGATAAAGCATTTTTAAGCTACAAGTAACATATATGTGGCTCCGTTAATTTCAAATTGGCCAACCAAACACATAGGCTGGCTAATTAGCCTTTAATATCAGGTAATTACACTTTTGTTCCTCCACTAATAGCCCTACAGCATATATTTACAATACTCAAATTTTACGAAAGTTAGTAGTTTTTTGTTATATTTCTGTGCTTAACTCTATGCTTTAAATAAACAATAACTAAACGTCAATGACAATTGCCATAAATGTATTGATGAGTATATTATTTCAGAAACGGCAGTATTTTCTGCCTTCAGGTTTTTTTTTATTAAATAAAATAATATCATACACTTGAGTTTTCGATTTTTGTGTAAATATCATTTTGTATTTAGTTTTTTTTGCAAGAATACCATACCTAACCTTGCCTAATAGTCGCTTAGCATGAACAAATTTGTTCAGTCAGCAAAAAAAATAAAGAGAGAATATAAATTTGACACTGTAGCATACACACTTTAATTACATTAGCGAAGAAGCTGTTTGATTTTTTTTTTAGGAGGATAAGTTATTGTACTTGAGCACCTCAAACCTTTACCATTTATACATCAGTTTGTTCTTCTGTATCGATTCAGATTCTACTAGCAAATTAACACAACTGCTGCAGCAATGACCCATTAATATTGTAAATCAATCTCTTGCTAATCTATCCAAATTTCACCTAGCTTAAAATATTATAAGTTTGAATAAGAACCTGTCCTGATGCAGCTGACATTGCGGATTTCACACACTTGTTCCCAATAAATATACATTATACAGAACTGCCCCTCATTAAAAAGCAGACTAAGCTCTATGTGTGACAAAATCCTGTCTTTTTTAGCCCATACAGTATTATTTTGCAATACACCATTATAAAATAGGGCAGAAGGTTAAGATTTCAGCTTTCAGAACTTTCACACTAATGCTAATGGTGATTATCTATTCCTTTACTTTCTGTTTTTAAATAGAGGTTCAGTATATTTTTTTTTAACAGATTTATCAATAATCAACCTCTTAGGAATCATTTATCTTATATAAATTGACAGGTTATATTGTAATGATTATTAAGGTTCTTTGTATAATGTTCCTTACACAAAAAAATCCTGCTTTCAGTTTGAAAAAGCGGGGGAGGTAATCTTTTTCTCTCCTTCCCTCTCGAGTGTTGTAAAGCTGCAACTTATATTTTTAAACAGGAGCAACTGGAACAGAGCCAAAGTAATTTGCTCCCCACGCTCATACAGTGACATGTGCCAAGATTTAGCTGAGGAGATGAGGGCGATTGAGAGGATGACAATCAAAGAGGTCATGGGTTTCTAGTGAGGCAGATGGAAGACATCGGAACACAGCTGTTTTTTGTGGTGTAAAACACTGCATTATTTCTCCTTCCAAGAAAAGCTTCGACATGTCTAAAACAGATGATGGAAAAGCTACATGGATATGTATGCTAACCTGGGAGATGATGGGATATACTGTGGGGTTTTGAATAGGCTCTGTCATGATGTAAATTAAAGAGGACGCCTTTAAAAGTGGAGGGGGGGTGGCCTTATTGCATATGCATCGGAGTAGATCAAAGCCTTTTCGGAGGTCACACATTTACATAGTGATATCACAGGAGCTATGGGAACCTGGCAACCCAGTCTATGGGCTATTTTTGAATAAAGAGGGCCTTGTGGAAGTCCTTTGCCTTTAACAAACTAACTCCTGCTTCACTCTTTGAGTGCTGCTAAACCTAATTCACTCCTATGTCACTGGATTGTGTCATTTTTATGTTACTAACTTATTTATGTCTCTTTATTTGTTAAGATTTGCTTTTTTAATAGATTGTAAAATTTTGGCAGAGGTCAGTTTACTTTAAAGAGAACTGTATTTAAAATAGGCCATTGTGGGTTTATTTTAATTGTAAGAAAGAGCTTTAAAATGGTTAATAATTTTCCAGGTCTAATAACAAACTCTATTTACAGGAAAGGAAACTCGAAGATTTATTCTGCTCTGCAAACAAAAGGTGAGTCTAAAGTAAAATATGTTAATTACACCAACCAGGGTGGCATAAAGAAATCTGCCTGTGAACATTGTGGATGTTATTTCAAAATTAGGGCTTCATGGAAACTTTCAACCGTTTGATTAAAATGTTCTGTGCTTGCAGCTGTGTCTTTTGAGGTTGAGTACAAAATAAAAAGACCTTGAAGCCAAGTCTAGGTTTCTGAAAGCTTTTGAAGCCATGTACTCAACTGATAAACAAGTAAAAACAACCTGTTAGATGGAAGATTCTGACTCCTTTCATTTTGGTCTTACTTCAGAAAACACGTATTACCTGTTAACACCCAGGTAAAAAAAAATAAAGGTCTTTGTGTCATAACATCACCAGAAGAAGCTTCCTCGTTCTTTTAATACCTTTGTGTAAAAGTTAAACAGTTTCTTTTTTCAGTGATGTTACACGGAACCACCTTAGTACTCTTCTTCAAATTTGGTACTTGTGAAAGAGACCTTGCTCTAATAATGTGTTTTTTGTGTGCTTGTAAAGCTTTTTGGCAGGAATCTGATGACAGCAACTCCGAGATTGAAGCAGCCCTTCGTCCTCCAACTGGCGAAGCAAACAGCAGTGCCACTGATGACTTTTATGACTGATGTTGCTGCAATATTATATCGTTTTTAAATGTGAGACGGATGGGCTCTTAGTAATTCACCCCACTGACCATACTTTCATTGGTCTGCATTCTAAATCATATGCTTAGCATATTGTAAAAACAAATAAAGTTGACAGCTCTTACGCTGGATAAGGTATGTGAAGAGTTGTCCAACGCTCTGATGTTAACCCCGCTTCATTCTCTTTATCTGAACAACTCTCCCAGCTCATAATAACGGCTCGAAATAGATTAAACTGATCTTTTAAAGCGATTTGTTTGCACTGGGCTGAAAATCATGCATTTCGAATGCTGCAAGCATCTCCGAGTGCTCTACTTGCAACCAGCTGGAGTGTAGGGATGTGAGTCACCTGTGAAACGACAAAGCACAATGGCCACTCTGCTCGCTCCGGTGTGACCCGTGAACTCACTCAAGAGGCTTATCTCTCGGGGCACAAAGTGTTGCAGTGCTAACATACTCAGGACATTTAGAGACCCAAACAAATGCTCTGGACATTTTCTTAGGGATGCAACAGATTTGTGTGCTAAAATACAAAGATATGGTTGAAATCTCTCTATTTTAATGTGCTAATGACTTACAAGTAGCTGAAATGATGCTGATATTTCAAATTGTTCATGCACATTGGACATCCTGGGTCTATTATTAGCTGTGTGGGAGGTTACATTTCAAGGTTTACATTTATAGTTCATTATTTCCGCAGTGTAAATTTTCCAAGCTGAGATTTGGTAAAAGCCCCCTGGCACACAGTGTCAGCAGGATTCCATTAGTCAGCTTTTGGTGACTTTATACGCCTGAACCTTTCAAAGTAGGACTCCACATTCATTACCAATAATGGCTTCAGTCAGCCCTGACCCAGCACAGAAAAGGGACTGTGGCAGAGTGATTTACAGTTTGCTAAAAGGTTCCCCAACATAATATCCAGTTAAGGAGCATGTCAACAGATACTTGTGTGCGACTGATGGCTCATGGTGAAAGTGGAGTTATATTGTGCTAATGTGTGCTAACGGGAGTATTTTTCATGAAGATCTTCTCAGACTCTTTGCCACTGAGACAATTAGGAATATATTCATATCATTTCTTTCACTATTATTGAAGCATGTGCACCATTTCATCTTTGACGCTGCTCTTCTCTTATAATCTGATTTAATCAAAACAGTTAATAAATTTCTTGACATCTTAAGATACAGTGCTCATTTAAACTGTTGGGGGTCAAACAATAAAACATAAAATGGCATTGCTTTAAAACTAAGAAACCTGTGCACAAATTTGAATTTATTGTGAATTCAAACTCATTTAGACTGGTTTAGTTGCTAAATTTCATATATGGTAATCACAGAGCATGTGGGGCAATAATGGTGGTATGTTTGCTTGTCTTTAACATCCGATAGGGTAGAGCCAATTTAAAAAGGTTTCTGTCCTGGCAGGAAACTTGCATTTGACCATAGTTTATACATTTTTTACTTCAGTTGAGTTTGAGTCCATACCAGAATTTTAATGTAAAATTGTCTAAAGAAATCATAACCAGTTTAGATGTGTATTTGAGATTATTGTCTTGTTGGAATACTTATATCCCTTTCCTACTGGCAGAAAAACCTGTTTAAACGCAGGAACAATCAGCTTTTAGTGGCAGTGGGAACAGCTAACTGACGAGTGTCTACACAGGTCAAACGACTTGGCAAGCGATCCACGTTAAAATCACCTCCTTTCTGGTTGGCATGCTGTGGGTACACCAGAGTCTGGTTGACCCTCTAAATTACGTGACACCATTTAAAGCAATGTACAGACGTCAACACACTGTGCCAGCCACGTCTTATCTAACAAGCCGAATAAACTCTGTTTACATTTGATAAACATGGAAACATTTGAAGTGGAGAAAGCAGGTTGACATAAAGTTGGTGTAATGGCTCAAAACAACTGAAAATCAATGGACAAACATTTTCCCCAACTTAGGGTTGCCCCCTTATGAAAAAGTTTACCAACAATGTCGACTGCTTTACTTAATCGGTCTCCGCCAAGTGATGTCAATTGTTTACCTCGGGTGCGGTACACTACGCCTTTTCCACCTAAAATGGCGTCTTAGCAACAAATGTCACGTGACTGGCAGAGACCGATTTTCCTAAATCCGCCCCTGTTTTCAGGCTTATGTTAACTGTAATGACTTATCTTGGACAGGCTGCTATGTAAACAGGCCTTTAGTCCTTCGTTTAGCTATGCTGCGGTTGTTTACACTACGCCTTTTCCACCTAAAATGGCGTCTTAGCAACAAAAGTCACGTGACTGGCGGAGACCGATTAATATGCGGCTGTGATGCAAAAATGCTCAAAAGAATACAAGATGGTCTCAGAAAGATAAAAAAAAAAAAAAAAAAAATGGCCATGCTTATTGGCCCAGTTTTACTAGTTGAATGTGTTAAGAAATGACTAAAAGTGGTTGATGTCGGTATATTTTGTCTGATCTTACTCCAACTTGAGAAGGAATCATTTTAGGTGTGAGGTGTAAAGAGTTTATATTTAAGTCTATATCTGAAATTTTAACTTTGTGGATTAAAGAAAATATGCATCAAGGTCAAATAGGGCATCCAAAACCATTGGAACTATATACTGCTTTAATCGTGTGGAATCTTCCTCTTAGGAAAGACTATGATTAAGAAGCACTCTTCAAAGCCAGTGTGATACAACACTCGTGTGTATGATGAGAGTATGTTACCTGATCTGCAAGGTAAATCGATTTATTTTTTTTTTAAAAAGAGAAGGGTTTCGGTAATAATTTAAAGTTTTTTATGAAAAAGAAAACATTGAAAATATTGCTTTACACAACCGTTACATACAATATGTTTATTAAAGATTATGAAATCCAGCTCTAAAACACTTTGTCTCTCATTAAGGTTCCGAAATGTCTCTGATGTGTCAATAGATTATCTCTAGGCTCACTGATATTCTGTCTAATCTTTCTTCTTCAAACATCTTCACCTTTTTTCATCTACAAGATGACTTGTAGTAGATTGTATGTATGTATGTATATATATATATATATATAAAGAGAGAGACAGATACTTTCTCAGGCTTTTGCCACATGACATATGACTAATATAGAATGCATTTAAATTGTGAATCAGAGCGTGATTGATTGTGTATAAAATCTGCATAGTATTTTTGGACAATGCTAGATGAGATCCCTATGAGCAATAAAACAGGGTGATGTTTACAATGTTCAGAAAATTGTGTAAATCAGAGTTGCTGTTAAATGTAGGACTGGAACTGTCTGATTGTGTCGTTACATTTGCTGCTGTGATATCTTAACAAAACCACATTGACATTTTTGATATCCTTTAACTGAAATGTAGTGCTTCTAAATATATTTTATTTTGTCATATATGTAGAGATTGGAAACCTTTCATAAAATATTACCCCTTAAATAGAGGGGTAATATGATTATCATTGACTATAGTTGAAGAAGCCCTAAAATTCAGTTAAATTAAAAAATACACTGATCACAAAGGAAAATTAAATGTCAAAACCCAAGATTATTTTTGTTTAACATTTTTTTTTTCTTTTGCTTGCTTGTTTGTTTTCTACTAAGTCAGATGTTTTTTTTTTCTAGTTGTAAATGATTATTTCACTTGGATATATCAGCTTCAGAATAAGTGGTACAGAAAAGAATCCTTTAACTGGAGGTGTCTTGTCTAAACTGAATGCTGGTTAAAGTTTCATGACCAACTTTTTAAGGTGTTCTGAATACATTTTTTTCTCATGGTATGAGATTTTAAGAAATCAGCACAAAGGTGGGCATAAATGTAAAGTTGAAGGAAAATGTTTTACAAATAAAAACATTAAAGGTATGTCCAGCATATTTTTGTTCCACTTTTTCTATACCTACAGCTTCAACATCTCTTTACCACTTTAAACATCTAGACAAAGAAATATTTGGCCCATTTCTTCTATTTACAGAGACCTACCTGTTGACTGAATAGAGGGCATCAATTATGAACTATAATTCAGTTTGGAGTTCAACTGGGTCATTCTAACAGCATATTTTTTAATGTACAGTATTCCATCGTAACCCAGGCTACATCAAATCTTCTGCAGGATTTGGTTTATATTAGAAGTACTGTGGTTAAGCTTTATCGACCTTTAAATTAGCTGACCAAATTCCCTATCTCTGCTGAACAAAAGCCTTTCCACAGCATATTTCTTAACTTTTTGCATGAAGAATGGATAAATAAAAATCTGTATTTCAGACAATCCAGTAAAATTACAAATGTAACATATGCAAACATATATTATTAATTATATATATAATACATTATCTTTGTAATTCAGTGCTTGAAGCAGTGAAAATTATTTAATCATACCCCTTCCATTCCTAACACCAACAATCTTCCTGATTCCTACTTAAACTATGAGTCCATACAGTTCCAAGTCCAATGCCCTGTAACCAGAGGTGGGTAGTGTAGTCAAAAATTGTATTAGAGTAGCACTACTTCATCATATTTTTACTTAAGTAAGACTAAAAACTAGCCATCCAATAGAGTACTTAAGTAAGAGAAAAAATGTATTTGGTAAAAAGTCCACTCAAGTACTGAGTATATCATCTTAATGTCTGAGATTTAAAATTATGCAACAATAACAGACAAAAATGTAAATGTATGTGCAAATTCAGGTATATTAAAGACTATAATAAAATAATTAAAACAAATGATGTAAAAGGAAAATAATAAAACCAGGCAGAAGGTACGCTTTTACAAACCAATTTTATTTTTAACATATAAGTTATGAAATCAGTATCTCCAGTGACAATATTTATTCCTTACTGTGTATAAGCATGACAACCAAATGCCAAGGCTGATTCAGGTAAGCTTGTGTACAAAAAAACTCAGATAAAATGTATTTTGTGTCTTCTTCTAGGGCACCTTTTTTTTTTTTTTTTTCTTTTTTTAACCCTGCTATTCAATAAAGTTACAATGAATGAGGTACATAACCAAACATTTTAATCAAGTAAAAGTAAAAGCCAAATATATTTTGCAGTAAAACTACTCCTAAACGTATATTTTGTCAGTTAATAGAGTTCTTTAAAATGTTGTCATGTCTGCTTGCCACTAGCTTCATCACAGAAGCTAAAATCCGTCAATTAAAGATTGATGATTTCTTAATAAGTAAATTTTAAAAATGT